AAGCATTTACGGTGAACCCTTCTCTTTATATAACCATAAGACCACTTGGGTTTGAAGAAACCTTAAAGATCATTTTTGTAAGACTCTGTTGGTTGTCAAAAACATATAAGCTCTCTATAATTAAAAAATAGTAGTGATCAAAGACCTAGGAACAGGTTAAAAATGTAAAGCTGTCAGCATTCAGTTCAGCTCAGTCGCTCAACTCTTTGTAAGACCATGGACTGCATGCAGCACGCCAGGCTTCCCTGTCCATCACCAACTCCCAGAGTTTACTCAAACTCATGTCCATTAAGTTGGTGATGCCATCCAGCCACCTCATCCTCTGTCGTCCCCTTCTCCTCCTGCCTTCAATCTTTCCCAACACCAGGGTCTTTTCCCAATGAGTCAGTTCTTCGCATCAGGTGGCCAAAGTATTGGAGTTTCAGCTTCAGCACCAGTTCTTCCAATGAATATTCAGGACTGATTTCCTTTAGGATTGGCTGGTTTGATCTCCTTGCAGTCCAAGGGACTCTCAAGAGTCTTCTCTAACACCACAGTTCAAAAGCATCAATACTTCAGTGCTCAGCTCTCTTTATAGTCCAACTCTCACATCCATACATGACTACTGGAAAAACCATAGCTTTGACCAGATGGACCTTTGTTGGCAAAGTAAGGTCTCTGCTTTTTAACATTATGCCTAAGTTGGTCATAGCTTTTCTTCCAAGGAGCAAGTGTCTTTTAATTTCATGGCTGCAGTCACCATCTGCAGTGATTTTGAAGCCCCCAAAAATAAAGTCTGTTGTTGTTTTCACTGTTTCCCCACCTATTTGCCATGAAGTGATGGGACCGGATGCCATGATCTTAGTTTTCTGAATGTTGAGCTTTAAGCCTACTTTTTCACTCTCCTCTTTTACTTTCATCAAGAGGCTCTTTAGTGCTTCTTCACTCTCTGCCCTAAGGGTGGTGTCCTCTGCATATCTATGGTTATTGATATTTCTCCCAGCAATTCCAACTTGTGTTTCATCCAGCCTGGCATTTCTCATGATGTACTCTGAATATGTTAAATAAACAGGGTGACAATATACAGCCTTGACTTACTCCTCCTTTACTGATTTGGAATCAGTCTGTTGTTCCATATCTGCTTCTGTTGCTTCTTGACCTGCATATAGATTTCTCAGGAGGCAGGTCAGGTGGTCTGGTATTCCCATCTCTTTAAAAATTTTCCACAATTTGCACGTGAGAGCCTTTCTGTGTCCCCTATTTCTTGTTTGTAATGAATAGACTCCAGCCTCCATCACCTTCCCTGGGTCCCAAAGATTAGATTCAAACAGTTGCTAATCAGGGAAGAGAGGGGGTGCAGAGATAAGGGAGAAACAGCAAAGAAACAATAGCACAGCTTTGGGGCAGGGCCCTTTCTCCACCTCTAGTTATACACATAACAATATCTTTGAGCTCTTTACAGAACTAAAACCCCAACAAGTGGAAGATATTAGCATTCTTCATTCCAGAGATCACAGTTTGATAGCCTCAAGAAACTAATCAGAAGACCGCCTGAGGCCAGATTAATGGAACTATAGAAGCTTATCAGGAGACCACCTGAGACCAAATTAAAGGAGTGCAGACCCTGCACACATCCTGATCCTTATCAGCAACTTGAACCATTATTATAAAGAGTTGCTCAATCACATCGGACTTTTTGAGACTCCATGGACTGTATAGCCTGCCAGGCTCCTCTGACTATGAAATTCTCCAGTCAAGAATACTGGAGTGGGTTTCCTTCTCCAGGGGATCTTCCCAATCCAGGGATCGAACCAAGGTCTCCTGCATGGTAGGTAGACTGTTTATCATCTGAGCCACAGAGAAGCCATTGCTATAAAACTCCTCACAAATCCTTCAGGGTTGGGATTTTTCAAAGCACAATCTTGCTGTGTCCCCTTTTGTCTGCCAAAGCAATGAAATGATTTCTTTTCTACTTCACCCAAAACTCTGTCTCTCAGATTTGATTCAGCACTGGTGCACAGAGGCCTTTTCAGCATTAGTGGCCTCTTTACTGTGTTGGCACATGGCTCCAATTCACTTTCTGTGGCCTCCAGTTCAAATTTTCAAGGAATCTAGGTTGACTGATTTAACTACCATAGCCCATTCTGGGTACTAGCTTCCCTGGTGGCTCAGATGGTAAAGAAGATGCCTGCAATGTGGGAGACCTGGGTTCAATCCCTGAGTTATGAAGATCCCCTGAAGAATGGCTACCCACTCCAGTATTCTGGCCTGGAGAATGCCACGGACAGAGGAGCCTGGTGGGCTACAGTCGGTGGGGTTGCAAAGAGTTGGACACGATAAAGCCAGTAACACACATAAACAAAAAAAGTGGCAGGATGAGGATTAAAATCACAGAATCAGAGCCAATGTAAATTCAAAATAACCCTTCCCAGTTACACTATGATTGAGAAACCAATCATTTTCAAACATTTCTTATTCCTCCTTAAAACACAAAATTAACTGCTTAAATTTCAATCATTATCCTATTCTCAAGCAGAGCACTCGCAAAGCAATGAAAATGTTTCAACTAAAGAAAACAAAGAGGAAAAGATAACCTGAGGAGTCTAGACACAAGTAGGAACCACTTTTACTCACATCACTCTTCCTGTAATAGATAGCAGTACAACCAAAACTGCCTTAAATCAGAGTCCCACCATGGGAAGGCTGTGGCTATTATCTGGGTAATTCAAGGCTATGACCAAGTCTGATGCTTCTGAGAAGACAAAGCTTCCACAGAAACCTGTACGACTCCAGTCCCCAAACCACTGCTAACTAACTCACAGTTGCATTCTCTGGTTCCTCAGCAAGTGGCTAAAGAACACTATGCTCAGTTAGGAGCTTCAAATTTCATGCAATTCAGTATCTTACTTGCTCTAACCCTCTGTATCCAAATTGGACATTTGGATACAGGCAGTCAGATTATAGACACACAATTATCCAACTCATTTCTGCAAGAATAAAGCTCTCTTTGCTTGGCAGAAGGCTGCCAAATAATTATTCAGAGTGTGAAAAAAAATGAGAGGAGCGGGGTAAGGGGAAATAAAAGAATTGAGACTGGGCCCAAAATGGAAACAACTTCCCCTTTCCAAATTCTGCATTGTGGGAGCTCTACTGAAACATGCTTTGGTCCTATGATCCACAAGGCTGCCATTAATACCTATTATCTAATAAGGCAGGTGTCATATTTCATACAAATTAGCAGAACCCAAGTCAAGCTAAAATACTGAATTGCTAATTTAGAAATTTCAAAAAATTGAACTACTTAACATATTATCTAAATGTCTTTTGATGGTGCTCTCTTTCTAAAATGAAAGGATACCTATATGTATGGCTCCTGATTTCTGAGCTTAGACTCAGCACTAAGCACCTTTTATGGTCAGGCCCATAGTTCAGGAAACTTCTCATTCCCCTCCCCTCACTTTAAAACATTTATTAATATTACAGTCACCTTTGTTTTCAGGTGCCATGCACACCCTCTTCTGGTCAGTTCAAAGAAAAACCGGTCACTGTTAGGAAAGGAACTCTGTCAGTAGTACAAATTTTGACCCAAAAACGGAACTATTACAATACATATGAAAGGATTTGTGATTCTTCTTTCTCTTTGTGATCATTAAAAATTGTTTTCATCATGAAAATTAGAGAACCTCCTATTTTCTAACAGATGAGTTTTCAGATTCCCCTTACTTAATTGCAATGTAATGACAAGATCTAGGACAACTCCAGGCAAGAGGTGATCAGGTGAGGCCCAGTAAATTCAGTCTCTGGGGCCATCAGTTCAGTCCTGGCACATGGCACCCTGCAGGACACGTGACAATGAGGGGAAGCACTGCGGAGTATGCACACGTTGAGCATCTGGTGCTGACATACAAGACATAGTGAAGAAAAGCACAGACTTGATTGGGACTTGATTAACACACTACAATGTATAAAATAGATAACTAGTAAGAGCCTGCTATAGCATAGAGAACTCTACTCATCCTGCTGTTACAAATACTCCTATTACTGAAACAAGTCTGTGTGCCCGCCGCATAGTGAGGCCAAACGATACCAAAACATTGGAGTCTGGAACAGAGAAAAGTTTACTGAAGGCCATGCAAGGAGATGAGTAGATCATGCCTTAAAAACCCCAAACTCCCCAAAAAGCTTTCAGCAAAGCCCTTTTCTAGGAAAGGTGAGTGAGGGATGTGGTTAGTTGTTGCAAACTTGTGTCAGAATCTTTGTTCTTGAGATCTGGTCACGGACAGGGAATGATGTTCCTGTAAACCTCTACTAAATCTCTGTTCTGACAAGAAAGGGCAAGACTCCCAGGCACAACTTTCACACCCTGAGGACTTTGTCCTGGCTAAAAGGAGGCAGATCTCAGTTGGCAGCTGGCTACCTCAGGGCCAGATCCCCAGAACCTGTCCAGCAGTAGCTAATGGAACCAGGCGCCCAGGATCCAGCCGACCCTCATGCTCCTTAGGCCACCTAAACAGTGGGGGCCAGGACTCGTGGTCTGCACAAAGGCAAGGATTGGGCAGAGGTTCACTGCTGCCTCAAAGCCTGGGCCTGGTCAGCTGGTGGCCTTGGCGAGGGCCCTAGAGCCCTGCAGGACACAGCCCTCTGTCTGTTCCCCGGGTCCCACTGCTCACCCAGTGGCCCAAGGCTGGGTGAGCTGGAGGGCCCCAAGCAAAAGGCCAGGATATACTTCTTACCTTACTCTCTGTGCAACAACTACCTCTCCACAGACCGACTAACGGTTGCCCTCTGTCTGTTCCCCGGGTCCCACTGCTCACCCAGTGGCCCAAGGCTGGGTGAGCTGGAGGGTCCCAAGCAAAAGGCCAGGATATACTTCTTACCTTACTCTCTGTGCAACAACTACCTCTCCACAGACCGACTAACGGTTACTCACTGACAGGCGGTTACCTGGGGGAGGGTCCCACTGCAGCACTGACCAATGGCTGAGTAGGGCCACTATCGGTCTTTCATTGACAGTTGATCCCTTGGGGGAGGGGCCCACTGGGGCGATGACCAATGTCTGAACAAGACCACCAGTGGTTCCAGGGTAACTGATGCCTGCTAATGAGGTGCAAGGTAATGGGAGCACACCAGGGTAATGGGTGCACAGTTGGACATGACTGAGAGACTTCACTTTCACTTTTCCTAACACTAAGATAGTAAGATGGTCTCTGGAGAGATTGTTAGACCCATGATACAGATCACACTAATCATCCAAAACAGAGATTTTTACTAACGACTTCGTCTTGCAAATTTCATGACCTTCTTTGGACTAACCCAGGAGAGCACTAAGGGATACCATAAGCTGAACTCTCATTTTCCCTATCCTACATGTTGGGAAAGTCATAAATTCCTTAAGCACCTATTCTGAAATGACAAGATTACCTTTCAATAATCATTTTATTAGTTACAGAAGAATCTCCACTAGTATTTACATAGTGCAAAAAAGCTGTTATTACCCTCTAAAATGTGATATAACAATCATCCTTCATACAGCAAGAGAACAAGATGAAAATCCCTTCATGTTATAATTCACAATAATTTTGCTAGCTTTTAATTAGAGCATTACAGTTAAGACATTAAATTATAAAGTCATGTGGTATATTTAGAAATTAAATTACAAAATAATACAAATCCTTCTAAAGTGTGATGTGCCAACAAAGGTTTAAATTTTTATCATTAATTAGGATTCAGACTTCAGATTAGGCAAACAGTTTGGTTGATTCTGGGAAGTGTGTAAAGTTTGGAAGGAACAAGGCAGGAGGAAGATAATAAATTACTTCACAAAAATTTTTTAAACATCAAAAAAAGAAAAAGTGTTTAAACGGATAAGTTAATGTTCTACCTTGTTGGCACAACATACAGAAAATACTTAAATGACAGTTTTATTTTTAAGCAAACAGCAGCTTTACAAACAGTAATACTTCTTTATACATATATTAAAGTAACAATGTGTTAGGATTGAACAGTTTTATGTTAGAGTTGAAAAAATGAATGTGGAGTTCACTACTCATTTGCACACTGTAACTCCCACCCCACCCACCTCCCCCAGCTTATTAAGAAATCAGGCAAGTACATTATTTGGATATTAATTTCTCAATATTTAAACTATGTGAATTCCTTTTGACTAATTCTTTTCCAAATACTGGAAGCATATAAAATACCATCTCTGCAAAAATGACCTCCAGTCAAAGCCTTTAAAAACTTTTCAATGTATAACACACATTTTCCCCCCATCTTTAGTCAAAAGAAATATATTACATCATTTACAAACATATTTAAACCAAGAGTTAAGCTAATATGAACATTTTGTCTTTTGAGAAGTAATCTTCACAGCAAACAAACCTACTGAAGCAGAAATCTAATTGTGGGAGTGCAATTCATACTTGAATTCATATACTTATGTACTGAAATAGAAATCTAGTATTATTGCCAGTAAAACAATCTCTACACACAAAGAAAAAAATCACTATGGTTTTTATTTCTCGTGATGATAAACACTTACTCTTACCATTAGATCTCTCTAGATCTCCAAAGAGTCACTCACCCAGATCCAGAAAAAAAAACCTTTCCTAATTTCACACCTCCGCCGGCATACAATATACACACATGCCAGAATTTATCTAAAGGAAATGAATTATAAAGACATTATCAATAATTACCTAAGCATACATCCTACATAGTAGCATTTCCTTTAATAAATTTTGGGTTGTCCTCTATAGGTCAACTATCTCATATAAAAAATGCTGTGGTCCCTTGGTTTGCTTTGCTGGCAGAAGATACTGCACATGCAAGAGCATTTATCAAACACATAATTGAACACTTCTAAAGTCTATAGCAAAATTCAAAGCTACTGGTGTTCTGAAGATTTCCTCAACTTCCCTTTTGATACAAATGTCAAAAATCTAAAATGACAATTATCATTCAGTAGAGGTATAAAATATAAGAAACCTTTGAAAAGTCATTCATTATTTTAAGATCAAGAGTTATCTGAATCACTGACAGAAAGCAAAGGAAATTTACACCATTAAAAAGTATGAAAAGTTTTCAATTTACTTTTAAGACTGTCAGTAATTCAAAATCTCTATCATTTCTTTAAATCAACGAACACTTCCAAATGTACAGAGACACTAAGATCTGCCACATATAAATCCATGATTACCACTTGAGAGGCTTCATTCCTTACATGCTACATTCCTTTAAGTACTGGACACTTTGTGCCTAAGAAGTCTACGCTGAAGAACAGTTTAGACAGGACACTACAGTAATGTCCCCTTTTAGCACACTAATAAAGTTGTTAGACTGACATTTCCTACACAGCAATGCTCGTAAACTTTCACAATTCACAAACAAATAAGTCATCAACCAAGAATCTGGTTTCACCAGTAATTAAATGTCAGGATTATAAAAAATCAATATCAGAACAGTAGTCCCAATGCTTCAGTAAAGAATCTGCCCAATTCACCTCGGTGAAGCAAAACTCTCTGCCCCATAAAACCTGGACAAGGAAAACACCCCTTCCTCTTCAGTTCTGTGCCTGCTTATGGGAGTTGAAAGTGTAAAGGTGGCATGCATCTGTGTGTATGTGTGCACGCACACACATATTGGCCAACTGTTAAGTGGTTGGAGGGAAGACAGAAAAAAGGTAATTCCTAATTCTCCCACCATCATAAACCTGCAAAGGTTACTACCAGGTGGTGACTGATTAGTAAAACATTTAGCTCATTAACTTTAATTTCTCCCAAGAGTTTAAACATCCCATAAGAAGGGCAGAGATAAACAATGATCTAGAATTAATACCTGCGGCCTACCTACGAACTCTAAAATCTAACAGTTTCGGCACAATTAGAACAACTTTCTCTTTTCTTCAAAACTTCTTCTTCCAAGCCTTGATTATCAGGATACATGTTACAACTGCATACAGTTTCTTTTCCTGACTCCCATCAGTAACTATGGTCAGTGTTATATATCAGGTGCTCAAGGTTAGGGACAAAGTAGTTTTCTTAAAAGGCGCACTGATTTTTCACTCTGGACAAGTCTGAATAGACAAATCCATATCTCAAGTCCAGAGAATCCCAAATCAGAAGCATGCAAGAGAACACACTAGTTAAGACTTTGTTTCTGGATAATTTACATGTAAGTGCTGTAGTCATACAACTGGTTACAGTTATTCACCTGTCAAAGTTTGCCTAATTTTATGCAAATACAACTATGTACAAGAGCATTCCTGAGGTAATTAAGAAGCGAATGTGAACCAGAAACCAGAAGGTCCTCTAAGGGGCAACTTCTCACTATTTTAAACATCTATCACTTTCCACAAATAAGGCCAGCTCTCATCTGTCATGGTAGTTCCCTTGCCAGCCTAAGTATTGGAGGCTCTACTTAGCCAACCAACTTTAATCAATTATAATGATCAGTGACTACTGAAATACGCATTTGTGAACTGAATACAAGTTGCATCAATTTTTAACACAAATCACTCTGTGAACTTATTTACCCTCAGCCATTTTTTAAGTTTTCTAACTCTACCTCCAGGTTTCTTTTATTTTAAAGAAACCAAAACAACTTTTTGGTCAGACAATTAAGAGTATAGGAGGTGTTGTATTGAAGCAAACATTGGTAATTGCTCCTGTCCTTAGAACCTCAATCTTTAGCTTTCAAAATTACTAAATAGGCATTTTAAAATTACTTTCTTTAAAACCTGGTCTTCTTTTAAAATCATTATTGTCCATAAAAAAGCTGAAACAATTCCAAATTTTCCACACAGTTTTTAGAAAGACACAGATGCTAATTAACACCTAAGCCATGGATCACAAAACAAGTAAAAGAAGGCTAAAAAATATTTTTCAGGAATTAAATACATATATTAAATACTAGACAGTGTAAAATGTTGAGATGAAGCATGAAAGATAATGGCTGTAACCCTTATGTAGTTAGAGACAGACAGCTGACGTTTCCTGAGTTATAGATTTGGGGGTGTGTAATCAGAATCAGAGAGCTCCTTGTTCAGCGAGCTGCAGTTGCTGGGCTTCTGCTGTTCCTGGCTTGCTTGGTGATCAGTAGTCCAGGCCTCGCTATCCATCCCCGGCTCTAGCACCTCAGCCGCCTCCGCTTCCTCTTCCCCACTTTGCTCTGCATTATCTTCCTCAGAACCATTAAGGGTTTTTCCAAGCTGAAGAGTTTCCATCGTTCTCTGGGTCTCAGAGACCCAAGACTCAATTCTACTATTGAGCTGTACTTCTACAGAAATGGGTTCGTGAGCGTAATCTTCCTCCTCCTCCTCCTCTTCATCATCCTCTTCTTCAAGCATGCCAGGGACAAGAGTGCTGGTGGTGCTGGTGATGGAGGAATTCAAAAGGTCCCGGCAACTGCCATCCAAAGAGCCAGTCTCTGTACTCTGCTGTGAGGCCCATTCCAGGTCGTCTGGCTTCACGTCCTCTTTGTCGCCCACTGCTGACTTTCCAGGGTTTGGAGCTGAGGTAGCGCTGCCTGCAGTCACTAGTGACGCCTGCTTACCCACAGGGGCTGTGTCCAATGGGAGTTTATTCGGTTTTTCAGATGTGCTGTGCTTACAAGAAACTTCTCTCTCGTTTTCTGATGTTTCTAGCCCATCTGAAGTTTCCACCATGTTTCTCCAATTTGTTTCTGCAAATATCAAACAGATTTTTTAAAAACCAGAACACTGTTTCAGAATCATGCAACTTTTACAAGTGGGAAGAACAGGCTACAGAAATCTGTTGGCTCACTAACTGAAAAAACTAAAAACTTAGCTTATTCTAGTACTACTTTAAATGTTATAAATGGAAAACAGCACTCAAAAAAATTTTTTAAAATCAGTACATTTAACATGAAGAAACAAAGAGGCCAAATAAGTATACTAATACTTCAGAATGCAGACGATTCAATAGTACCAGAAGCTCACTGACTCTCATATATAAAACCCATGTATTCACAAAATCAATGAACTGCCTAACTTTTTTTGGCCCTAAAGTGTCCTGGGCTCAAGGATCCACAAGTCACAGATGGCAGAGCCAAAATGCCCATTAGAAATGCTCTGATTAAAAAAAAGAAAAGAA